CTGAGAAATAGAAAAGAATAACATACCAAAATTAACTAAAAATTAAAAGATGGATACAACATTACTAAAACAACTTTAGTAAATACATCTGTGTGTGTGTGTGTCTATATATATATATATCTTAATGAACTTTCTGACTACACTGTGGGTATATGACAGGATAGGTTTTAATTGTGTTTATGTACACATGAAAAAAAGTATAAAACTTATTTTTAAATTAAAGTCAGTCAGCACTTTACCAAATTATGAACTATGTATTATTTGTCTAACAAATTTTTAGTATTTCTGTCACATAATCCTCTTCTAGATATGAAAAACAAGAGTATCCTTCAGGATGTCCAGGGTAATTGTGATTTTTGGCTTGAGATGTCTTAAGGATAGACAGTAGATCTATATAAAAAGTTTTTAAGTCATAGAACATCAGAATATATTATACCATAGTAGTTATACAAGCACCATTATTATAGGTACTTAGGTAAGTTTTCTGATTTCAGTTGAGTATCATATTGGTTTTTAGTTTGGCTTGAAGGGAGGTTTCAAATTCCACTAATAGCATTGTTTTTTATTTTTTCTCTGAAACTGTTAGATTTTTTCCTATGAGTAATATGTGTGTTTGTAAACATGCAGCATATTAAGCCAGAATTTAATAAAAAATTTTTCAATGTTTATATATCACCCTAGAGTTGCCAGGCATGAAAACTGAATTCAAATCGTACTGTGATCACCAACGATTATAAGTTTTTATTATATTTCTGAAAATTGCAGTTAGATTCATGCTAACACAACTTACTCTAAATCTAATTAAAATTAGAGTAATGTTAACAATATTGTTTTCATTATAAGTGATAAGTAAGATTTTCACCTAATTAGATGAAAATTCTTTATTGTGAATATCATTTTTGATTTTATTAGCAGATGATTTTTTTATTTTTTTTGCCATTGATAATACTGTGCATCCACTTTTCAGATATTTTGTTTGGTGGTGTTCCATGAGTTATTAGTTTGGAATATATTACTAAATAAAACAGATGGAAAGATCAGAAGATTGGTACAATAAATACATTTTGCTTTACTTTCTAAATAACTTAATATTTTGACTAATATTACAGTGTTTATTAGTTTGGACTAAAAGTGTTAATTTGCCAGAATCTTATATCGATACTTTATTCTTAAATTTATTATCACTTTTTAAACAGTTTCTGTTGATTTCTCAGTTGACGTACCGTAGAATCCACCCAAAAGGATTTCATTGCACTATTTAGTGACATAGATCATAACATTTGGGCAGTAAACTGTAATTGATAATAATTATGTCTCTTATTGAACTTATCCAGGTATGAACATGTGAACATAAGTGTTTTGTATTCTTTATTTTAATTTTGTTAACTGCAGTCCATTAATTACATATATTTTATGACATACAGTTTTATTGAAATTTAGTAAATAACATTTTTTTTTTTCACGTAACAATAACAACAAAATTTAATTCCACTTAAAATCTGTTTATTATTTAGTATAAACAGACTCTAGACCAAAACTGTTTTAACTATTATTGTAAGTTTATGCTAATGGCAAAAAATTTTCAGTTTGTCATATTGTTTAGTAATATCTGAAAAATTTACTTTGTTTTTACTTTATTGTATTAAGAGACAGTTTGTTAGTATTTCAATGGCCTGCTTAGAGGAGTATTTCTCAAATTATTATCTGGATTCCAGCTGTATATAACAACGTAGAGAAAGTTTAGGTGATAGATTTCCATACATGAATTCTAATGTGTATGTATGGGTGAATGATGATGTGCTAGCTTAAGTAGGTCATAATATGCGTTTCAGCTTTGTACTTCATGTTTTGTGGCGTAGAACACATACATATTTTACTAGAATATCTGTTGTGTTTAAGAATTATTAAGAAGATCATTTTACAAGTGAAATCATTTGAGGAGAATATATTCATGTCCATGTGCAAAGTTATTTCACACGAGATCTCAGTTATGAGATTGAACTAAAATAATAACCACTATATATGTAATTTATAAGTATTTTAATGTAAATGCTTTACGTACTAAATTATATTCATTCTCAAGACTAGGAATACAGTTGCACTTATGGAAATTAAAATCAATTTGAGCAGTATTAGTAATAAGCATAATTTATTTCAAATATTAGCCATCAGACAGCTTGTCACATTGCAGTCTTTGTCACCATATTTTTATTTTGTCAGGTAAGTGTGTATATGATTTCACAAGCTAATGCTAGTTATACAGTATGCAAAGCTAAGCTTAAGTTATCTGTTTCTATAATGTGGGATTTGATCTTTGCTGCTTACAGCACAGATATCCAATTGTACAACTTATGCTAAAACCGAAAGGAGTGGTATATGAAATGAGAATAATAAGATTTACAGAATAAAACTTGATTCCAATATAAAAGAAAAACTACATCCATATATTTGGCAACATATAATGGTGTTTAAAAAATCTTTGTTTTTCTTGACTTTCCAATGTTTCATTCAAAAAATCCAAGAACATTCTATTTATTTTCTTTGTCTTCCAAGAATTGTTCAGAACCCTGAATTGAGTAGGAAAAATCTCAAAAGTAATCGGCCAATACCGGTTAACCAGCCAGTTATTTGAAATTAACTAATTGGTAAATGGCTGATTTTCATAGCTGTACATTACTAGTGTAATCATGAAAATTAAGAAATGTTCATGATAACATGTAATGTGACTACAGATTTATATTATCTACATAATATAACAAAGATAAGTTCAACAGAAATTTCAAAAAGGAGTATTAGTAGATATACAGGAGTGATTGTTTTTGATGATTGTAGTTTATTAATAAAATATGATGTCAGTATATACCTTCTTGTGATGAAATTCACTGTTTAAATCTTAAGAAAAATCACCGTTATTAGTAAATTGAAACATTATGCAGGATCACAAGTTTAAAATTTTATGTGGAAATATGAAAGGGGCATATATATACCATCTTTGATTTCTGTCAGTTTCATGCATGGGAGGTAATGTTTTTGTCATAATAAATAATGTATTTTACAACAAAGATTTAGTAAGTTAATAGGAACCTCTGTGAAATTGGAATGACATAACTTGGTTTTTAATACGAGTCTCTAATGTGAATATCAAGTTTTGTTACAGCATTTTGGGTTTATTTAAAAAAAACACACACACACACTTCTACTTAAAACATTTAAAGTAAGTGGTATTTAAGACAAGTAAAAATAAAACCAACTAGAATTACTGTGTTTATTACAACAAGCTATCATACACATGTACATCTGAACATTCTTTTTTTTTAATTTTAAGGTTTAGAAACAATACCTAAGTTGAATGCGTGATACCAAAAAGTGTCTTTTTCTAAGTGTAATAAAATATCTAAAAAATACTTTTAAGAGCTTGGTTCTTGCTGGAACTAAAAAAGCAAACATAAATTTAAACATATGAAATTGATACAGATGAAATGAAATCATACAAAAATTTGCATATCCACATAAACTTTAATTTGATCAAATGATTAATGCTGTTTAACTAAGTGCTGAGAAACAAAATCAAGTTAATAATATTAAAAGGTTAGTTAATCTTTATTACTACATACACCTCAAGCTGACAGGTTACATAAAATCTTTTAAAAAGTCAGTTACTTTTAACCAGTGTTTGTTTTTTTCCATTTCTCCAGTAGCTATGTTTTGCTCTGCCTGAGGTTTTAAATACAAAGAGGTTAAATCTTTTTTTTTTAAATTGAATCAAATCACACCAAAAAAAAACTGAGGCTTAAACTATGCCTGTAATTTATATTTTGTAACTACATTTGTGTGCAAATATACTATGTTGACATAGATAATAGGAAAGCATTTTTTTTTTTCAGTTCCTGTTAACAGTAAACTAATCCCCCTCCCCCCTTTTTTTCCAGATGAATAAAGCCTTCCTTAGAAAACTTTCAGTTTAGTGCTGGGAGAAGATTCATATCTATGGACTGCCTTTTTTCAGAGGTAGACAGGTGTTATCTTTTGTGGTTAATTTTTGTTCAGTGTGGCTTTCATCTAAGGCTCGTGGGCCGACCTGTGTGCACAGCAGCTGTACATAGCATAGCTCACCCCACATGCATCATGGTATCAGATCAGCATTGATTGGAAAAAAATTTGGTCTGAATCTATAATGCTGCATTCTTTGTTATAATAAGCTTTGTTTTTAAATGTCTTAGTTTACTGAGTGACGTCCATTGTAGTTTTGATGTAATAAATATTATTTTGTACTGTGATGTTTGGAATCAGCTACATCAAGTACTTGTATATCTCATGGTCCAAATAAAAAATTAAATAAAATCGGATATGTCTGACAAAGTTCATCACTAGAGAAAGGTCTTTATTGGAAAAAACAAGAACTTTTAACCAGACGAGTAATCACAGAAATCGTATTAATAATCACCTGTTTACTTTCACATATCAAAGTAGCAACATTCTCTTAACATTTTGTTGTAACCAGAACAGAACTTCTTTTATACATCTTTATACCTCCTACATAAATTTATTATAAAGCATCACACATTGCCATTGACTTTATGAGATTCCTTCTTGACATAACATGCATAGGAAAACAGTTTTGGAAAGCTAACATCTAGACAGTGTAACTTATTAATGAAAATTTAACAGACCAGAAATGTTACCAGTTTGCAACTGAGGTTATTTGTAAAGAGATGTTGACAGTTCAGGAAAATTGAGGAATTGTGAACAGTAATTTGTAGATGATGTTTGGAATCAGCTACATCAAGTATTTGTATACTTTAAACTGAAGTATGTGTAAGGATATGGCATCTCTGAAGATTGGCTAATGTTTTGGAGATGAAATGTATAATGTACAGAGGAGTAAGTGCACTTTATAAGAATGATTTTCAAATGCTAATACAGTTGTGCGTTACCACAGCTTGCAGCTGTGATGCTAGAGGTGACTCATTTAGCACATTTTTTTTCTCCAGCAAATTACTGATTATTTGACAATGGAATGCTACCAAAATCTGGCTAGAGAAGTATTACACTCTTAATGAAGTATATATTTGTATAATGAAAATTTAAATTATGCAGAGTCAAAGGACACAAAATTTTAAGTCTTTTTTTATGGAAGTTGAAAAAAAAGTAGTGTATTTAGAACAGAATAGGGCTTTAGAACCATAATACAAACTAATCCAAAGAAAAGTTCTCATCTGCATGGTATAGGTTGTGGTTACAAAAGAAAAACTTCTGACTGAAAAAAATAATTGTGATGAAGTTGAGCTTATTTCATGGTACAATAATAAAAAAGACTTCTAAGCCTTTGCCAAGAACTTCCATCCATACCTCTAGAACAATGGCTATTTTCATATGAAAGATGACTTTAAGTTTTGAATCACCGCTATTCTACTTGACCACATATCTGTCAAGTCTCTTAATACAGCTCCTATGACTTTATGCCATTGATCTCCTTAAATGTGGTCTTGGAGAGTGTAGATGAATGGAAGGAAGGATGTTAAGTTGTTTGGCCTGAAATTGATTTTTCATTCGTCACAAAAATTTGTTTCATTGGAATTTGCTGTGCCAACCAGTAGTGTGTAATCATGCCCAACAGTTTGTACATGGTAAATGATGGAGGAAGAAGTTTTCAGAGAAGCACAGGACCATGGAATATTGTTTCAAAAAATGTAATTAATCCACAGTAGAAAAGGTGGTAACCCTTAATATTTAGGTTGTGAGGATCAAGTTAGATGTAAAAAGATGGTGACAGTCCTGAAAATTGGTTACTAGTATGAAAACAGGATATTGTATAAAGAAATTATTATTGTCCTGACCATTGATATATTGACAATGAATTCAAGTAAAATAAATGGTGATATTTCTGAACTTTGGTTGTCTGTTTGAGGATCAAGTGTGAAGAGATGGTGATAGTTATAAATATGGGGTTCTAGTTTAAACTTATGTTGTTTTATAAAGAGATAATGGTAAACTTGTACATTATTTAGCTTTAAATGGGTGAAGATGTGTATAAAACAAGTGATACTCTTGAACATAAGTTGGTATGGCATAAAAAAATGGATGGTGGTAGTTCCGAACTGGTTACTGGTTGAGGATGTGGTGGTGTTCAAAGAGATGGTAGTTCTTAGATTATGTAGATATGATATTGTATGTAAATGGTAATTCTAAACATTGCCGGTTTGAGGATGGGATATGGTTAAAATGATGGTAGTAGGCTTAACATTGGTTATTTTTTCAAATTATCTACATTGATTGCCAGTTTGAGGATCAATTATAGAATAAAATGATGGTGGTAATCTTGATTATTGATCAACTTATGAAACTTTTGGCTCAGTGGTAAGTCCGAAGGCTTAAAAGGCTAAAACCAAGTCTTGATACCTGTGGTAGGAACAGCACAGATAGTTCATCGTTTTTCTTCTTTGCACTTAACAAAAAATACTAACTGTATGAGGATGGGTTATTGTAGAAAGAGGTTACTGAAGTATTGAAAATTTTATGCTTACTTACAGTTGTGGTATATTGTAAGCTTGAATATCTGTTTTGTGGTTAGTATGTAGTGTGAGGAGCTGGTGAACAGTTTTGAAATTTCTAGGATATATATATATAGATATCGTAATGATCATTTTGTGTATTGAGTCGTATTGTAATAATTCAACAGTATTAAACTTCTTGTACCTAATTTGGTTTTTAATTATAAGGACAAATATTTTGTAAAAAAAAAAAGAAATGAACAAGCTTGAAATAAAGTATCAAACCTAGCATTGAATTTTCTTCTATTAAAATAAGTTAAAGAATGTGATCTTTCAAAATATGTTACTAAGTTCGAAATCGACAAGTGTATGTGCACAGTTTTACATATGAAATTTAAATTTATGGTCTTAAAATATGCTTACCTTTAACGTACTTGTAGAATGTAGCTTTCCAAGAACTGTTAATAATTGGTGTATATCATGTTTTCACACCATGTTTCTGTACAATACATAATATTTAGTTTTATCATTAGAATTATGATTGGTTTATTTTAACCAGTGATTGTAACTTTGTTCAAATCCAACACTATAAATAGGTTAGACAGGGATTACCAGTTACAAATGTGACTTCCAGAGTAAATAATCATTAACAGCATTAAAGTTAATCTATTTTTCAAACTTACATTAGCATATTCTGCAAGAACCTATCACAACGTCGAAATTTAATGAATTCTGTTACACATACATGAACTCCACTCTCCACTAATATTCTGTAGTACAACCTGATTAATCGGACTAAGGAATTTTCCTCCTTTAATGATTATAAAAAGGGTTGGTCTAACTTGCTTACACACTGGCAGTTCTAGTGTATCACAAATTTGTTAATCGTATGAAGATTCTCTATCATCAGGTAGCATCATCATAATCAAGAAGATTACACATTCATTGGTGAAAGTTCTTGAGGTGACTAATCCCACATGAAGTAACGTCGTTAACACTAGTGGTTAAATCTTTAGAAAATGTATGCCACGCAGTTGTGTTAGAACCTCCCTCTACATGCGCAGTTTTCTGTTGTCCGAATCAGTTTCAACCTTGCTTGCCTCGTTAACTGGGAACACGAACAGAAAACGTGCTGCTTGCTTCCTACTAACTGCCTTTTAAGTTAAGTGTGGGCTGTGTGGACGAGACACACTGAGCCTCAAGCAGCTTATGATAAGGTTGTGGAGTGCTCTTGATAAGATGAATGATCCTTTGCCCATGGTGAAGAATGTGAAACCGGTGGTATGCCACTCATCTTGTTTAACGAAGGTAAGCAAAACAATGTATGGCCAGAACTCGTGGTTTCAGGCTGCTGGTAACAGATTATACTTATTAAAACATATATATAATTCGTATTGCTTGTATGCGTAAATACATTACTAATAACAGTTTTAACTTTTTTTATGGCCCCCCAGTGGCACAGCGGTATGTCTGCGGACTTACAGCACTAGAATCCGGGTTTCGATACCCGTGGTGGGCAGAGCACAGATAGCCCATTGTGTAGCTTTGTGCTTAATTACAAACAAACTTTTTTTTATATATTAATAATGAGGTGTACATATTGATGATGTTATTGTTATTCCGTTGCTAGATTACATGCGAAATGTATACAGGCATGGTTAACACATTTATTACTTTGTTAACTATAGTGACGACGATATAAAAAGTGATTGAAAAAAGTAACGTCATGTAAAGATTACCAGATTGTGTTATGTTATAAACATTATATGTTAATACTGAGACTGCAAGCATGCAGCACGTGTGCCAAATGCTTACACAATGAACTTTTTTTTTGGCACGCGGTAATGAAGGAAAAGTTTTTGAAAAAAAAATGAAAATTGATGTAAGAATCTCGGTTTTTAGTTTGAATTCTTACTAATTGAATCTCGGCCTTGGTTCACTCTGCATCACGCCGAAGCTTTCAAACATTCAAGAACTTTCATCAATAAAGATCAAACAAATACAGTATTTATAAGTAGACATATAACTCTTAAAAATTGATAAGATATAGGTATATATAAATATATGGCAAACTTGAAACTATATAACATTTTATTTTGGCACGCCAGTCAAAAACTATTTACCATCCTTGTGTTAATGGATTAATTACAAAGACGTTCTTAATATTAAATTAACTTATATTTATGAAAATTTGGTAATTTTTACCAATTTAACGTGATTGTCAATTAAAATAGTTTGGTGTATATGATGTACAGAATTTGTTTTTGAATTAATACAATTCGCACGTTCATTGTTTGTTTGTTATGAATTTCGCGCAAAGCTACACGAGGGCTATCTGCGCTAGCCGTCCCTGATTTAGCAGTGTAAGACTAGAGGGAAGGCAGCTAGTCATCACCACCCACCGCCAACGCTTGGGCTACTCTTTTACCAACCAACAGTGAGATTGACCGTCACATTATAGGCCCCCACGGCTGAAAGGGCGAGTGTGTTTGGTATGACAGGGATTCGAACCCGCGACCCTCAGATTGTGAGTCGAGCGCCCTAACCACCTGGCCATGTTCGATTAGAACAGCAGATACAAATATCACAAAACACACGCATTACAACATTTGACAACCCAGATCACATATATTAAACACCTTCAAAGAACGTAGGAAACTAAGAATATGTACACGAGTTTAAGAAACCCACAAATAAATATATAATTGGATAAAACACTTGAAGAGAGATTACTGGGATGATTTCTGCTTTCAGATTCATAAACTCACTCAAAAATTATTGGAAACACCTAAATGATTTATAAATTTCCAACACTTAAGAATAAAACACACAACCCTACACTACTAAATAAAAAG